GAAGGTTGTTGTTTCTCCACTGAAATCTAATTATTTTAATGTCTTTGCAGCTGATTTATCAGACCGAAGCTAAACTGTTAATGGCCTTTACCTGAGCAGGCATGTTCATCAGCAGCACTGCAGCCACCGGCCCCTGAGCCTGACAGTAACCTTCATCTGGCTGATACTGGGTGTAAGCTTTCAACACCCGGAACAAACCACGCTGCCTGCAGACACACACACACCACAATCATCTCTCACAGAGCCAGAGGTTTCAGTCACCTTTGACAAGAGTTATACATTTAATAGCGAAAAGAAAAGAAAGAAAAAGAAAGACAAGTGACGAGACTGTTTGCTGTTCTGTTGAATAAGCCTTTAACTGTGAAAGCTAAACCAGGGAAACTATGAAAAGATTGGAAAGCTACGCTGAACACTAAATAAACTGTATGGTTATTCTGCAGCTCTCAGCTTCAGAAACAAATAGCAGAAACCTCGCCTACCCGTGTCCGTCTTTGGACTGGAACATCTCGTGGAAAGGGAACTGCCGGTCCAGATCTCTCTCGATCACATCCACCCAGCTCTGCAGAGCCGGCTGCTCATCCAGAGTCTGATGCAGAGACAAAAAACATAAAACGCATACCAAACAATAGACTTTTGAGTCTTTAAAATTTTAAGTTAGTTAGTCTGTTTCTCAATATTATAAATAATTTAACTTTTACTTAATAAAATATAAGAAAACAGTGATCACAAGATCCCACAACTTAGAACAGAATATATAGATGATCAGGCATAGACTGTATATAAACAATGGACAATATAGCCTCCAGGTCTAACAGCTGTAGAAATGCCTTAAACCTGCATTTTGTTTAATTGCCAGAAGGGGAAGACTCCTGGTGGGAAAAAAAGTCAGATTGCGTAGAAAAAATTAGAAAATGACCCTCTTGGTCATATTAAATTATTTCCTGATAGGTTTACGGCCTTAGTCGCTAATCTGAAGTGGTATTTAATGCAAAATACAATTATAGTCCCATTTATAGTTAAACGAATGATAAAGACGGCATGATTTAGGGAACGTGATGTTGTGATGTTGCTGCTCTATGAGTATGTAGTTTCCCAAATTTCTCACTTAGATCCATCAATCACTCGTGAACAACATGTCGCCAGCCAAATAGTAAACCAGCACTCTTGCACTTTCTTAAACCATCCCAGTGAGAGTGTTTCTTTCTCTTGCCTTGTAGAGGTTTTCATGCTGTTTCATCCTGTTGGCAGCTCCGCACAGCAGAGGCCAGCACTTGGCTCTGAGCGAGGCAGGGATTCCTTTCTGACACTGCACTTTGACCTGATGAGAGACCCGGAAAACAAACGGTTACTGTGCTTTTTCCTGATGTGTCACAATGTCTGTCATGTAAAAGGCCCATCGCCCATCATTTGGTGCCAGGGTTTATTTTCGGGCATCTTTGACGGGACGCACCTTACTGCTCTTCTTTGACAAGATGCGATCCCATTGGTCAATGATCTTTATCCACTTGGCCTCCCTCTGCCTGACCAGTTCAGGTGGCGGGCCCAAACTCCTGACACAGCACAGCACATGAATCACCAGGTAAGTATTTTGACACGTTTCACCTGTTTGCTGAACAATATAAATTCTGGAGACCTTTGTAGTGCTGTGTCGCTGCACACTGTTTAGTGTGTTGTCATTACAGACACACAGTGCTCCGAAAACAAGACAGGAAACAGGAAAACCACACGTTAGCAGTGTGAAGTCTCTATGGCAACAGGTCAGGATGTTATCAATGAAGAAAGTAAAGATGACAGGTAGCAGTTTGTTCAGTTAGTTTTAATGCTTAGTTTACGCCGCCTCGTGTGCAATCCCCTGCC